GCTCCAGAGAAAGCAACAACGAGGAACAAGATGGCAATGAATACTCTCCTTACTTTTAGATATGAAAACTGAAATTTTGCTTAGCTTGAGTAGAGTGAAGTTTGATATTGGTGCTCTTGAGATTATATAGAGAAAATAAAAAATGTTAGATCAAGTTTTAGTTTTTGAGATTCGAGTTAATTATGTGCTATTTAACCTTTGTTATCCAACTCTAGTTCGATTCATATTTGTTGGGATTGTGCCTTGAATCTTATACTGCTTAGGAATGGGAGTTGCAAGGGGACTCTCTCCTTTAAATAGACTAGTAGATTGGACTTTTAAAATATCTCAAAAAGTGTAAAATAGACACATAAACAATGGTCATTGTAGGTTGTTATTAAGGATGTAATTGGGCTTTTTGGGATAGTGTAAGGAGTTTACAATTTTTCTCTTCTATAAATTGCACAGTTGTAAGCTTTTGCTTTATGGATTGTTTGAGTGGATAGTAGATGTAGGCTAAATTGATTTGGTCGAACCACTTTAAAATTCTTGTGTTTGGTTTGTTTTAATTTTTTAGTTGCTTTCCTTAATTTTACGTTTGAGTTGTGGGAATCTTTTTCAACAAGTGGTATCAGAGCCCATGATTCGTGATCTGAGAGAAGGCAAGCTCAAGAAGAGGTTGGATTTAAGAGTAGATCGACTTTTGTGAAGCATCTCAAATTTTCTAGAGGTATGTCTAATGTTGAGTTGAAGACATGAAACGGTGTTGTTTTGGCCATAAGTGGTGTGACGTCATTTTGGTAGCTGCTGAAATGAATCCTGGCTATTGATTAACTTCAGATCCAATGGCTGAAAATTAACACTTGGTCAACACTATATAAAGGAGCAAATATTGGGAAAAAGCTACAGCTTCTTCTTCGTGTGGTCGATCGAACAATTGCTTAAGGTTTTTCTCCTTTTACATTCAATCTATGTAATCTTGGTGAGTGAGTGTTTGTTTTTCATTCAAGTGAGAGGGGTTTTACTCTCAAGTTCTTAGGGAATCTGATTGTGTTCTCTAGGTAGGATTACGGGAAAGGTTGAGTTGTATTCTTGAGTGATTGATCTTTGATCTGTGTCGTAAACTCTTGATTGTAATTGATTAGTGCAGCGAGCTCCTCTGATTCCGGAGCTCAACGTGGATGTAGCCTACCCAATCTTGGATAGGTGAACCACGGTAAATCTGTGTGTGTGTGTATTGTTGTGGTTGTTTTATTCTTGATTGTGTGTTAAAGGATTAGGAAGTTTCATCATAACATCTAAGTTTGAGGTTCCTTTATTTGATGGTAAAATTAATTTTATGTTATGGCAAAGTACGATATAAGACCTTTTGGTATAACAAGATCTTGATTAGGCATTAGAAGAGAGTAAGCCAAAGAAGATGTTTGATAGAGAATGGAATAGAATTCCGAGGAGAGTTGTTAGTACAATTAGATTGGCCTTAGCTCTATAGATAAAGTACAACGTACCGACTGAGTCTACACCAAAGGGTTAGTGGGAAAAATTAAAGGGTATTTATGCATCGAAATCATTGACTAACAGACTGTGTTTGAAGATGGGTTTGTACTCCCTAAAGATGGATAAAGTTATAAGTCTCCATGATCATCTAAAGAAATTTAGTAGGCTAGTATCTCAAATATTAGCTATTTCTTATGAGTAAAGGATGAAGAAAAGACATTGATATTGTTGTCATCTTTGCCTAAATATTATAGACCTTTAGTTCAAACTTTGTTGGTAGGCATATCTACTTTAAAATTAGATGATGTGATTGCCTTGCTGCGTGAGAATGAAAGGTTTATGGGATTAGATAACTCATCATTTAGAGGAGATCTACTAATTGCAGAAAGTTCTAATCGAGGGAGGACTCAAGAGAGAGGTGATAAATCTAAAGTCAGAGATTACAGTAATAAGGAGTGTTATTATTGTGGAGAGAAAGGACATATCCAACCACGCTGCAAGAAATTAAGGGATGATATGCTTGCTTTCAAGAAGGCTCAACAGATAAAGGATTCAAAGGATGATGCTTGGGTTGCTAATAATGAAGGTGGATTTTTAGTAATATGTCAAGATGAAATTCAAATTTCAAAGGGTGAAAAAGGTTGGGTTTTAGATTCTACTACATCTATGAATGTTTGTAATGGTAAAGATTGTTTTGTTTAATTGAAAGAAGATGAAAATTATGGAAATATTGTTTGTCGGTAATAACGAGAAAGTGAAGATTGAAGGTGTTGGTAGCGTTTGTCTCAAGCTTCACAATGGTGTTGTCAAGAAGCTTCGTCATGTGAGGTATATACTGAGTTGTAGTTACAATTTGATTTCTTTGGGTGAGTTGGCTTCTTGTGGATATACCTGCATTGGTCAAAGAGATGGATGCGAAGTGTATAAAGATGATGTTCTGATTTTGCAAGGCAAAAAGAATGAAAAACAACTATATTTGCTTGATGAAGGTGTGTGTCTTAAGAAATCAAAAGATAAAGTTGTTCAAGTTTCTGTTGTGAAAGAAAAGAAGACTGTCAACCGAGTAAGATTTTCAGATGATATTATGATGTTTGGGGCTTCAAGTCAATGGAGGAATTGTTGGGATTGTGCCTTGAATCCCATATTGCTTGGGAATGAGAGTTGCAAATAGACTAGTAGATTGGACTTCTAAAGTATCTCAAAAAGTGTAAAATAGACATAAAAGGAATAGTTATTGTGAGCTGTTATTAATGGTGTGATTAGGCTTTTTGGGATAGTGTAAGGAGTTTGCAATTTTTCTCTGCTAAAAAATGCAAAGTTGTAAGCTTTTGTTAGTGGATTGTTTGAGTAGATAGTAGACATAGGTTAAATTAATTGTGCCGAACCACTTTAAAATTCTTGTGTTTGGTTTACTTTATTTTTTATCTGCTTGCCTTAATTTCGCATTTGAGTTCTGTGAATCTTTTTCAACAATATTTTAGTAGATAAGGTTAGACTTTACGGAGCAATATCTCTAAAATATCATCATCCAAAAATTTTAAACACTGTTTTGGTTTTTAAAATTTTTGGATGATGATTTTTTGATTTATTTTACCTTCATCTTAGCAAGTACATCAGCCAAAACTAAAACATCATTTTTTAAAATTATATTATAGTTATCTTTATTTGCAAGCACATCAAGGGAAATTTATTTGTCATTCTATGTTGTGATTGAATTAAAAGTTATTTTGCTTATGATAAAAATACAAACAAATTAGAGTGGACAAATAAATGATTATAAAATGGTCAACTAAANATCCTCGGGATTCTCATTGAGGGATATTCAGAGGATACCTGACTGGAGGGGGGTTTTACACTCAATCTCCATTGCAACAAAATTTATCTCTCTATAACCAAGAGAGAACACTCGAGAAGAAGTTGTGTGAAGAGAATGAGATTAGTTCTAAGAGCAAAAATGCCACAAAAGTCATTTTCTATTCCTTTAAATTCTCTCTGACCAAAACACACTAGCCTTGACTCCACATCAGCAAACAGTCCACAAAATCAAGTGTCACCTCATCACAAATCTCCACCTTGGCATCTGATTTTCCCATTCCCCACTGCCTTGGAAATTTTTCTTCACTTTACTCAATATGGAGTAGGCCCTCGAAGAGTCTTAGTTTATCCAAAATAACAACTTTGGTAAACATGTTGCTGGATTCTCTTTCCCAAGAATTTTCTCCACCTTGATAACTTTCTCTTCAATCATGTTTCTGATGAAGTGTAGCCTTACATCAATGTGCTTCGATCTCGCATGGAATGCTTGATTCTTGCACAAAAAAAATGGCACTCTGGCTACCACTCTTGATTGGAATCTACGTCTGATTGTATCCCGGTTCACTAAGCATTCCCCTAAGCCAAATTGACTCATTTGCAGCTTCTGTAATTGTAACATATTCCGCTTTTGTGGTGGATAAAGTCACAATAGCCTACAAATTTGCTTTCCACACTACAAGAAAAAAGTACTTTCTACAACCAATTTTTTTGCAAATAGACAAAATAGTTGCAGATACACCACATTTAGTAACTAAATTCCAATCGGTCGGCTAAAGGGGAATAAAATTATGGGGCTCATTTATTCTAGCCTTTGGTGTCTAAAATTAATATTTTGCAATTAATTTGATTTGTTGTCGAAAATATCACATTAGCGACTAATTTATTTTGTTGCCAATTCTTGCGCGGTAAATTTTTCCAACATTACAACACAATTGAAAACTACAACAAAAGATTCCACAATTAAAATTATGGTTACAAAAAACAATTATTTGCAACTACTGAATAGTTGCTAAATTAAATGCAAATATTAATTAATTAATTTGTAACTATTTTTATTAGTTACAAAATGATACAATTACTTAAATATCCAAGCTTCTAACAATAATTACAAAGGGCTTAAGGTACATATGGCAACTAATTGTTTTGTGCATATTACAAATAATTGCAAAAACTTATGTATAGCAACTAATATGTATTTAGTCGCTAAAAGTTGATAATTGTTTTTGGCTCCCACTTTCCCTGTAAAATAAAAAAAAAATGATATTTTAAATTATGACTAAAATTACTGTTGCGTAACTAATTAATTAGTTGCAAACTATCTTCTTTTAGGAACTTAGATTTTAGTTGCCAAATGTGTGATAAATTCTGCAAATCAGTTTGATCAACCCATTTTCCTGCTTGAAATAAATTAAAATTTTGGGTATGTTATTTTCGCAATTAAAGTTTAAAGTTATAGTTGTTAATAAGAGTTCGTCCCAACCAAAATGTTAACCACTAAATATTGTTTATTTTCACCGAAGCAAATTCTCCCACCCATCTTTCATTAGGCCAAAGCTATGGTTATAAACTATTAGAATAACCCATTTCTTCTGCCCAAAATTCGAGCGCCCAAAAAACCCATTCTTCCGCCCAAAAACGAGAAACATTTCCCTCTCTTCCGCCCAAAATCTCTCTTTGTCGCTCTTCCACTGATTCGCAGAAGTTTCTCGTTGCGACAATCAATCTTCTTCTCAAATCTTCTAATTGCTCTTTTCTTCTCAATCTTCTTCTGGTTGGGATTCTTCTAATTGCTCTGTCCTTCTCAATCTTCTTCTCTTTGCGATTAGGGCAAAAGGTTGAATGGATTAATCAATCTGGGCTGTTGAAGAGAAGAAAGGTTTTGTGAAGGGAGAGTTACGGCATTTCGGTCATTGTGAAGCTGATCTGTGTGGGAACAATGAATCTTCAGATTGTGTGGAAACTATTGATAAAAAATGTGGTGGATGATGAGTAATGAAGGTGGCCATTACTGTTCGAAAACGAGTGATGATATTTGCTATGATGTTTGTGGCTAGGTATTTTGTTTTCCACTTTTTAAATTTTATTTATTTATAATGCTTTCATTGTTGTTTATAAAGAACAAGCTTTGGGGTGTGGTAATTTTTATTTTATTTTTTTTTATTTTTTTTAAAGTTCTAAGTTTTTAGCGTTGCTAGTTGCCATTAAAATGAGTTTGATGTGCCTTTCGTTGCAGCTTTGGATGATTTTTTGGATTCAAGTTTTGGGTGATTATTGTTCTTTGAAAAAGATAAATAAATAAATAAATTTAAGGAGTTTCCAGAAATCCGTAAACCTCAGTGAAGGTTTTGGATGGTACACTTTGAGATATCAATGTGATAAATACCAGAATGCCCAGAACCATATAATATGGTTTATTCATCAAAAACCCTCCAATATTGTGGTAATTTTTTTCTTTCTAAAGCCCATCAGAAAAGGACCGTCTTGGCTGGCAGTCTCCTCACTTCGACACGGTAGCTCTCTGCAAAAACCCATGTAAGCGAAATGCTTTTTTTTTTTTTTTTCTTAATTTTAATTTTTTATCCCTTCGTGTTTTATTCTCCACTTCTTAGTTTATCTTTCGTTGATGAATTTCACTATCCCCATTTAAATACGAAGAAATGGTGAGGCAGAGAATTTTAATGTTTTGATTGTCCTGTAGAACTAGAAATTGTCGCTGATTCAAAGCCCAATGTGTTTATGTACCTTTTTCTGAGATGGGTTTTTAGTTTTTTTTTTTTTTCCTTTTAATTTGTTTTCTTGTAGTTTCCCGGCCACCAAATAATGGGCTGTTGTTAAAATTTTAAATTCTTCTTTAACATTAATGAGTATTGAAGAATCATCAGTGTGCGACATTGTGTTTGTCAGCTTAAATTTTATTTACAATAGAACTATCATAATTATATGTTAATTATTGACTGTACAATCTGGAAAGAAAGGAAAAGTGAAACTTGTTTTTTCGTTTCTGTTATGATTGAGACATGGCATGGTGGTGAATATTCTAGATTGGGGCATTTCAGTTTTCAAGTTGTGTTAGCATATGGTTGTGTCTTTGTTTCTTGTATGATGGTTTCTATTGAGATGAAGGACTTCTGGCTTTAAACTCTGTATAAAAAATGATGGAGCTATTTAGATTCATTCATCATCCACCTGCCCTTAAAATTTTGGTTAATTGGTTGACTAATTAAGTTTAGCTTTTCTTTTGGTACTAATACAGGTAGAAGGAACTGTTTTATGCACAACCCTTTTGTTTGTTTGTTTTTTTTCCCTTTGTCTTCGAAGGAGTGTAAGCATTTGTTTTTATCCCTTCCTTCATTATCTTGATGCTGATAGTTAGTATAGCTTTTGTATTTTTTCTTATCATTTGGGGAATGACTTTGGATTTCAGGTCATTGCAAACCATAAAGGCTCTTTTTCCGTGTTATGTCATGGTCTGGTTGCTCTAAATTTATGGCATATTTGCAGTCTTGGCATTTCCGAGTCCATTCCTTTTGGAGAAATTTTAATTGCTTTGGTAAAGACTTCACAAGGCCTCATAGAGTTCAAAACAACTTGTCTTCTATCAAGAGTCTTGATCTAATTCATCTTTTATCCTTTCAATCCGTGAAGGTAACTCTCTACAAACTATACGAGAAAATTTATAAACATTGGAAAACAACTTTCTAATTTCTTTGACTATGATTACTGCTTGTTTTGAAGACTATTAATCTTTGACCTTGACATTTTGACTCTTAACTTATAACAAAAAACTTTGCTACACTTCTAATGTGGTACTCTTCACTTAATACATCTTTGCCATGTTTCTGAATGCACCAATTTCATAGGAGCAGACATCCATACTCATACAGGTCTTGATATTTTGCTGGCAACATGCAATAGTTTTCTCCTTTAATGAAAAATGGTGAAAAATGACTATTATACATATATATTTATATATAATAATATATATATATATATATATATATAGACGTAATCAACATGCAACTGTCTATTGAATATGGCTCTTAATGGTTTTTGTTTTACAGGGCTATTGTAGTCTATCTACAGATTCAAGTTTGACTTTTTGGATGATTTTTTGTTGCTGTTAGTTTGGGACAAAAAATCATGTTGAATGTGCTCATTGTTCTCCAGATGTGTAGCTTCTTATTCTTTCTCGTTTGATGGATTTATTGAGGTATTTATGAGCAAATATTATTTTCTACAGATTTCTACAACTCAAGTGTTTGTTGGATCTTACCATGTCATCTTTCTTTGCAAAATTAAAAAAGCTCAGCCTTCAGTTAAAGCATTAGTACTGTTGTTACTAAGGAGGAATCATATGCTACACAAGAAATTCAAAATAAGATTAAACAGGTGGAGGAGCAGAGTTAAGGTGCATAGTGCAACAACAACAAAATAAGATTAAACAGATGGAGGAGCAGCTCATCTTATTTGATCAACAAAAACAGAAAATAAAAATGCTTGAAGAACAGCATTTTCAAATGTTGGAGATGCTAAAGCAGATCACTATAGCAGCTGCACATTTCCAACGAGCTAGAGCTCCAACTGGACTGCCATTGCCATCTCCAATTGATGAAACGTCTTCCTCGTCTGCTACAGCTATTTGATGAACCTCAACTAGTGACACTTGAGATGCTAACAATATTAATGGTTAGTTTTTTTGTTACATGGGTAGCATATATTTTGACATGGGGGTAGGACCATCTTTTTGGACTTTTTAGGATTGCTTGCATATATCCTTTTAGATGGTGTACATGGGGTGGGCATTTTGTTTGTTAGTTATGCACAGATAGATAGCCACTGATGAAAATGTGGGGTGCATGCTTTATTTTTTTGGTTATGCACATAAAAGAATAGTGCATTTTGGATTTTTATTGCTCATCATGCATAAAAATCCATGTATGGACTCTATATATATATGAAAATATGATATTTGATGTTAGTGATCAGATTTTTATATTGTGTCAATTATTTTGTTGATGTTGAATGTATAAACTAGGTTATTTACGGAGAGTAAAAATAATGCTCTTGAATGTTAACCAATTAGCTATTAAATTATTAGTCGTAGAAATAATATAGCAGGAAAGGCTAATAAATAATATCTGACTAAAATAATTAGTTTCCATAACTTATATACAATCAGTTACTATATTATTTAGATGCAAAAAATTAATTTTAATGACTAAACATTAGTTACAAGATGTAAGAAACCAAATCGAGTATATATATTTCCCCACTAAAAACGAAATGCTTTTGCCACTATTTATTTTTTCCAAAAAAAAAAAAAAAAAACACATTCTTGCAACTAATTTCATAGTAGCGAAAAGTAAGTTATCATATTTGGATTCTACATTCAGCATCTAAAATGATTGGAATTAACCATTAAATTTTTGTCACCAAAAGATACATTTGTTGACTAATAAAATAGTCGTAAAAAAGTTTTACGAATTTACCCTTAAACCTTCAGCATCTAATTTTTGTGACATTTGCGACAAATTATTAGTCACTACAAGACACATTTTGCAATTAATTGATTAGTCGTGATACAATTTTACCAATTTACCCTTACACATTTAGCGTCTAAGCGGGGGATTATTTCAACCAGCAATTAGCGACTAATTTGCTAGTCGCCAAAGAAAAACTTTCCGCGTCTAACCAACTTTTTAGATACCTATACTTTTTGCAACAACGATTTTGCAATTACGTGGCGACTACGAAATTTAGACGTGCAAGACATTTAGCGTTTAAATTTTACTATCAACGTTTAATTTTGCTAGACGTAGAAAGTCATTTTTCTTGTAGTGCCAACAAACCAAGTTATCCCACAAAGAAAACACAAAACCAATTATTGACTTCCTATTATCAAGATTCCCAACATAATCAATGTCAACATATCCCATAATGAAATTCATTTGATCTTGTCTTTTACTGTGCACAACCCCTGTTGAGATTGACCCCCTAACATACTTAGAATACATTTCACTGCCTCCCAATGACATTTTCTAGGATTACTCATAAATCTACTCACATAGCTAACTGCAAAAGCTTTAGGTTTTATACAAACCATTAAATACATTAAATTCCTTATTGCATTTGCATAAGGAACACATGCCATTTTCCTTTTATCATCCTCAGTTTCTGGACATTGATCCACACTCAATTTAATATGTTGACCCATTAGAGTTTTAACATGTTTACAATTAAACATATTAAATCTCTTAACAACTTTTTCAGCATACTCCCTTTGAGATAGTACCATCCTCGCTGTTTTCTTATCTTTTTCAATGTTCATGCCTAAAATCTTCTTAGTCTGCCCCAAGTCTTTCATTTCAAATTGCCTATTCATTTCAATCTTAAATCTAGCAATTTTAGAAGCATCACTATAGGCTAGCAACATATCCTCAACATAAAGAGCTAAGTAAAGATAACAGTCACCATACAAATATTTGAAGTAAAGACAGCCATCAAAATTGCTTCTCTTGAAACCAGCATTAATCATAAAACTATCAAACTTCCTATACCATTGCTTGGGTGACTGTTTCAACCCATACAAAGACTTCTTTAAAAGACACACCTGATTTCTAGGACCCTTTTCGAACATTTCAAGTTGTTCCATCAAAATTTTCTCTTCTAAATCATCATGCAAAAAGGTTGTTTTAACATCATGTTGCTTTAATTCAAGTTCAAATTGAGCCACCAAAGATAAGAGGACCCTAATGGTTGTATGCCTTACCACAAGTGAAAATATTTTAGTGTAATCTACCCCTTAACCTGTGTAAAGCCCTTTGCTACTAACCTAGCTTTAATTCTAGGTGACTCCACCCCTGGAATTCCCTCATTTCTTTTGAACACCCATTTACGCTTGACGACCCTATTGCCCTCAGGTTTATTAATAAGGATCCAAGTATTGTTCTTCATCAAGGACTCATACTCCTCTTGCATAGCTAACTTCCACAACTTAGATTCTCTACTCTCTACGGCTTCTCTAACTGTCATAGGTTCTTCTTCTATCTCTTCAGCAACTTGGAGTGTAAATGTAACCATGTCAGCCCATTCATATCTATGAGGCAACCTAATTTCTCTCCTTTGCCTGTCTCTAGCCAACTAATAGTTTTGGAGCTCATTTTCTTCATCATGAGTTAGATCATCCTCATCCTCCACTAAGGCAGGTTCCTTATCTTGGACTTGAAAATCTTCTTGTTGATAATCTAACTACAAACCACCAAGGTTATCAGTAGAAGCTTCATAACCCAATTCAAAACTAATGACTTCAGATCTTTCACTAGTTTCACCAGCCTTTTCACTCAAACTGCCTAAATCTTCTTCATTAAACCTAACAGCTCTATTGACTATACATCGTTTCTTAACAGCATCCCAACACTTTTACCTTTTTATCCCATCAAGATAGCCTATGAGAAAACACGTAATGGCCCTAGGATGTAATTTATCTGACTTGTCATGCACAAAGATAGCACAAACAAAAACCTTCAAATTGCTATAGTCAACTGGATATCCAGTCCATCTTTCAATAGGTGTCTTGAACTCAATGGCTGAGGAAGGAATCCTATTAATAAAAAACATTGTTGTATGAGCAGTTTCTGCCTAGAATCTAGTGGGGAGTTTGGCACAAGACAAAACACTTCTAATCTTTTCTAGGATAGTCCTATTCATCCTCTCCACTAGCCCATTTTGTTGAGGTGTATACCTAACTATCCTATGCCTTAGAATTCCACTATCCTTACACAATCTATCAAACTCCTCATTAATGAATTCTAACCCATTATTAGTTCTTAATTTTCTAATTCTCTTCCCTAGCTAACTATCCTTACACAATCTATCAAACTCCTCATTAACGAATTCTAACCCATTATCAGTTCTTAATTTTCTAATCCTCTTCCCTTTATGATTCTCAATCATAACTTTCCACTCCATAAATTTGCTAAAGGCTTCTCTTTTACTTTTCAAGAAGTATATCCACACTCTCTTAGAGTAATCATCTATGATGCTAATGAAGAATTTACAGCCCCCCAAAGATGGATATCTAGTTGGCCCCCACACGTCAGAATGAATATAGTCTAGAATGGACTTAAAACAATGTTTCCCTACATTAAACTTGATCCCGCTCATCTTTCCATAAATACAATGATCACAAAAGCTTAGTTTCTCTATTTTGTCCCCTCATAAGATATTTTGCTTGCTCAACTCAACTAGACCTTTATCACTAACATGTCCCAGCCTTTTATGCCATAAAAGGTCTTGTTAGCCTTTTGAGATAATGACACGGCTACTGTTCCAGTGATGGTTGAACCATTTAGAACATATAGCCAATTTTTCCTCTCTCCTTTCATCACAACTAAGGACCTTTTAGTGATCTTAAGAACTCCACCTTGAGCCTTATAGCTATACCCATTTGAATCTAAGCTTCCTAAGTAAATTAAATTCCTTTTTAACTCAAATACGTATCTGACCTCTGTGAGTAATTTTGAACTGCCATCATGCAAGCTTAGTCTAACATCTCCAATTCCTAAGACTCTACATACAACATTATTACCTATCAAGACTTTCCTAGACTCTAACTTCTTAAAGTTAATAAAAAAATTCCTATTTGGAGTCATATAAAATGTACACCCTGAATCAAGAATCCATTCAAAATCTATTTCCTTTTCAAAAGCCACCAATACATCTGATGTAACGCCCCACTCGAGGTACGTAGCTAATGTCTTTTATTTTACTCTTATTTGAATTGAAATATTGTTAATATGGTTTGGTTGGCCCTTGATTGAATGGATGCTTTGGTTTGGTTGAGTGGTTGCCCTGAAATTGTAGAGATTTGGTGGAATTTTAGGGTTACTGTCTTCGTCGGGGCGAAGAAGAATCGTCGCCGCGGCGATGAGGCCTTGCAACCCACGTTGTAGGTTCTGTAAAGTTTCGCCGGGGCGAAGAAATAGTCTTTGCCGTGGCGACGAGCCTACCAAAAAGTTTAATGAAGTTTCTAGAGAATTCTTCCTTTGGGGCACAATGACCATTCTACCCCTAATTGGCAAGAAAAGTGGGGAGTGAAATGCAAGGAAATTGCATGAAGAATAGTTTAATTGGGGGCGCATTTGTAAAGAATTAAAAGGGCAAAAGTGGAATTCTTAAGAAAGAGTAAGGGTAAAATGGGAAAGAATGGAGAAAATATGAGATAATAAGGGTTTAACTTTAGAAACCCATTCATTCATCTTCTTCCACTGCCTCTTTCATTCTCCATTTCCTCTCAATTTCTCCTTCAAGCTTTTAAGGATTTTGAAGGGTTTTTAGTTAGATCTTGGTAGAGAATTGATCTAAGTCATCCCAAGGTAAGATTTCTTACTCTAGATGTGAATTTTACCTATAAAGGTGATGAGGTCTTAATGTGTTATTGTTTTAAAGTGTAGAGAAAAGTCTTCTACCAAAGGAAAAGAGAAGTGTTAGTGGAATCACATCATCACAAGGTAAGTAAATCCTAACCCAAGTTGAGATTTGAGAATTCTCTTGAGTAGAGATTTGAGAATTCTCTTGAGTAGAGATTTAGTAGAAATGAGGTATGCATGTTATATGTATGTTATTGAGAAATTGAGTAGAGATATATGTCTACTTGTTGAGAAAATAAGTTGAGAATGAGTATTCATATTGTGTGTTGGGTATATTTTCTTTATAAGAAGTGTTGATGTGTTATTAATTGAGATGAAGTTAAATGAGATTGAGTATATATTTTGGGAGTGTTCTTCTATGATAGGGGTTATGCCCATGGAAGGGAGTTTATTCCCATTTTTGGATGGTTAAAAAGAGAAATAGAGTTGTAGTTAGAGAAGAGTTTTTATATGCACATGAATTGTTTGATGAAATGCCTAAGAGAAGCATGAGAATGAGTTATGAACCTTACTTATTATAACATTGCATATTGGCATTTCCTAAGTGCATTAATGAGCATGAACCATCCATATGCATTAATTGTGCATTGAGAAGTAGCTTGAGAAAGAATTGAGAAAGAGTAGAGAATTACTCTAAGAGTTAAGCTACATTATGATGAGTAGCTAGAGAAAGAGTAGAGACCTTGTGCACAAGCTACTCTAAGAGCTAAAGAAGAAAATAGAGTAAGTTGTACGATGGGGAACCCGTGAGTGATGAGTAAAGTCACGAGAGTAGGTGCTTTGTGATCACCAGGCACAAGGTGCTTTGTGATCACCAGCCGTGCCTCCTGTAAGATGGGGCCATGACCGTCACATAGAATGGAACATGAGATTCCAGTAGTGTCTTCGGTAAGAAAGGGCCGTGACATTCAAGAGATATAGAGAAAGAATGTACACTCACATGGCCAAGGGTTCCGAATCCATGCATGACCAAATCCGATCGGTAGAAAAATGAGTAGAAGTCACGTAGAGTGGTAGCGCCCAGCCGTGCCTCTGGTCAGATGAGGCCGTGACATTCCAATGAGTAAGAATGAGAAACAAAGGAATAGAAAGAACAGAAAGAGAAAAAGAGTAAAGTCACGAAGAGCGGGTTGAGTTCTCGGCCGTGCCTCTGACAAGATGAGGCCGTGACATACACCAGAAGGTGTATAGCAAAGAATATGAGAAACAGAAACAGAAAGAGAACAGAGATGAGAAAAGAATAGTGTAAGGAAATAATTAAGAGAAAGTGTTACAAGGATAGACAAGTAGAGGATTTACTTACTGAGCATTAGTTGTGCTCACCCTGTTGTTTTTCTATGCTTTTGCAGGTTCTAGGTGAGCACGCAGTCGGATGGACATCAGCGAGCGAGGGAGAGTAGTTACACTGTCCACCACACTTTTGAGAACTTTTGTAAATGATACTAACTTTATGTAAAGAATATGTATATTAAATGAAAGAAAATTTTGGGCCCAACTATTTTTATTAATGTACCTGTATTTTATTGTATGTGTTTTTATGAGTATAGTAGTATAAAGCAGCTATTACATCTGAACTCTCATACCCATCAAAAGCTACATCTACACTCCCACTAGCATCCTTTTCCCCTAATTTTTTCTTCCTGTCAGGACAATCCCTTTTGAAATGGCCTTCCTTATGATAGTAAAAGCATTTTCTCACAAATTTTGACTTTGATTTTGATCTCCCCTTGAAATGCCCTTTCTTATGACTTTTCTTTTCAGATCTACCTCTCACATTAAGTCCCTCACCATCTAGCTTAGCCTCTTTCCTAAATTTAGCATCCTTTGTAGTGATTGCCACCACAACTTCTTCTAGCTCAAGGGTCTGTCTACCATACTTCAGAGTATCAACAAAGTTTGCACATTTTTGGCAAAGAATTTATGAGAATGAAGCTTGATCCTCATCCTCAACCTTGACACTTAGACTCTCTAAATCCTGAACCAATTTCATAAAATCATTCATATTCTCTACTAAAGATTTACTCTCATCCATTTCAAAACCAAAGAACTTCTGTTTTAAAACTAACCTATTAGGATAAGATTTGGACAAGTACAAAGGGACTAATTTTTCCCAAATCCTTGCTGGTGTAGTCATTTTCTTTACCTCTCTCACGACTTTGTCTCCTAACCCAAGTATCAAGGTGTTATGGGCTTTGTCTAAGAGTTCTCTCTTTTCTTTCTCAGTTAAGGACTCTGGTAAACTATCCTCACCCTCTAAGGTAGCTGATAGACCATCCTTAACTAATACAACTCTCATTTTCATCTTCCATAAACTATAATCACTGTCTCCAGTGAATTTCCTTACCTCAAACTTAGACATATCTAGGTTTTAATCCCTCATCGTTACTCAGAGATGAAAAGCCCCAAAAATCAAGACCCAAAAAAAAAAAACCCTAGGTCAAGGAAACCGTAACTGATGAGTTTAGATCTAACCCTAGGTAGTCACAAAACCAAATAATCTCTAATACACACACCTATTAATATTATGGCTATGATACCACTTGTTGAAACGTAAAGACTATTCTAAAAGGTAGAACAAGAAATCCAAGATTTATAATCATGAAATCAAACACAACAATCAATAAGGAAACACGAAAACGAAGCATAAAAGTAAAGAAAAGACATAGAGAATTTATAGTGGTTCAGTAATCAAATTGATTACCTACATCCACTCTTCAGGGTAGCAAAGAAATAACACTATAAAGACAATCTTACAGAGTTTTTGCACTTTCCCAATATACATGAAGAACCCCAGGAAAACCCCTCTATGAATCACCTATAAGCACCCTTTTCCTGACCTCTCATATATCAAAATACAAGAAATTAGAGAACATTTATACAAGAACAGAAGAGGATAGCTGTGTAGCAAACCAAGATTCCAAAATCTCACCACACCGTTTGATTCATCTTGCATCTCCAAAGGCTCCACCCCGATCTCCATTGCAACATAATTTCTCTCTCTGTAACCAAGAGAGAACACTCGAGAAGAAGTGTGAAGAGAATGAGATTAGTTCTAAGCGCAAAAATGCCACAAAAGTCATTTTCTATTCCTTTAAATACTATCTGACCAAAACACACCAGCGTTGACTCCACATCAGCAAACAATCCACAAAATCAAGTGCCACCTCATCACAGTATATGCATTCTCGGCTAATTATTATTATACCTTTGCCTTATGTCTTTAGTGCTAGAAGTGTTTTCAATTGATTGCTTTGCTTTATCCTGCTCACCTTGTTGTAGCATTTCAAAATCAACCAACTTTGAGAGCATTTAACCCGACTAGAGAAAACAATTGGACCCCTTGTACCATAAAGCTACTTCCTCGTTACTTAACTGGAAAAAAAAAAGTACTTTCAGTTAAAAACTTAAGTTCTTGAATTTATGAAGTATCATAGTGAACTTTGAGACTCATAAAACTGCATATTGATTTAGCCAATGTAACATATAAAACCCTTTTGATATTAGAGAAAGAAAACCCTTTTAGATGAGGCTATGTTACCTAAAACCAAGATATTTGCTTTGCTATACAGAGTTGTGCATAGTCTGTAAATTAAGATAGAGAGAAAGCATTAGAAAGGAACATATCAACAAATAAAAAGATAAACCAATTCCAACAATATATTAAATCTTGAATAACAACATATAATGACAACATCAATCGTTTGAATTTAAGTGAATGTGAGGGGACAAACATGAATATATATATATATATATATAAACAAAGTTTTCTTGAGACATTTGAGATGCGATTATTTAATTGTTATTAATATTTAGGTGAATGTGAAGGGACTAAAATGAATTTATATATCTTTTAATTAGACATTTGGATGTCCAATATGTGCTATTAATACTAATAAATAACAATTCTAGAGTTGCAACTAAAATCCTACGTGTATATTTCACATATTCATGAAGCGTTTGTATCTAAGAGCTGAATGTGGAGGGATTAAACCTTTGGAATGCCCAATAAAATAAAATCACTAATTTATTAATATGTCATTAATTGAATAAAATTCTTTATGATTAAAATTTGGGAGATGAAGGGTTAGTATTAATGAGAATGTGATATAGATATATAGATATTTTAACTTTTAATTTAAAGTTGAATGGTTCATTTAACTTGTAATTACATCCACTAACCATCAACCAATCACATCCTAGCACATTAATTATAGACACTTGCAATAATTATAGAGCTCCTAAGATCTTTTGTGGCATCCTATGTGAAATCTTACGTGAAATGGCGATCAATAGAGAGGGTGGGCTTCAAGATTATATAGATATATGGGTTATATGAAAAACCCGCCAACTGCTTTTTGGCTATATGCGTTTTAGAGTTTTTTTGTGCTTAACATTTTATGGTACACAGGAAATATAACTTGAAGAGTGAAGACAGTCTTGGTTATTGAAGTAAAGGTCAAGCCCCCTTGAAAAACCCATAACTCAGATCACACTTTTCAAACAATAGTAAAAATCGAGTCAATGCTACTAAAATCTTCACCTCATTGATTCAAATTTGAGCTAATTCAAAACGAATAACCAAGTTAATGTTGCACCTTGAAGTATAGAATTCATAACCAACCACTAACTTCCTTCTCGGTGGAGAAATCTATTCTGCTAGTGTTGTTGTGCAAATTGCACATGTTGGGTAATTACAAATATTGCTGGATTAGACCCATTATCAAAGCTCAATTATGGCCCAAGAAGTGAGTTGACTCAAGCTCTTTAAATAAGTGGTGGAGATTTAACCAAGTGAAATGTGTGACTATGGTTCGCTCTTGAAGACATAAATAGGGGCATTGGTTAGGGTTTCATTTATCCCAAAGGAAAAAGAGAAGAGTATCAAAAAGAGTAGAAAATTAGAAAGGTTTGTGTTAAGCTTTGAGTTAGAGAATTTGTGTGGGAAACTCTATTAGTTATAATTATTCTTTTGTTTTTAGGTGCGAGAAAGTTTATTGAGATTATGAGTGATTGTAATCTTTTTCATATAGTGAATTTTTACTGGTTGTCTTTGGCAACGATAGTTTTTTTTTTTTTTTTTCTTCGTTTTGGAGTTTCTACTTAATTTTTGTGCTATGAGATTTTTTTCTTAATTCTCCAATTTCTATTTCTCTATATTGTGTGACATCTATTCCTAACAAGTTCCCTTTTGAACATCTTCAAGAAGATCTATATTCTTTCAAGACACCAGACCAAACTCAAATTATTCCACTTAGTTTCCCAAACAACCCCGTTTTAGTACAAGTATAAAAACATTAAAGGAGCATGAAAATTGTTAATCGCATATCCCTAGAGTTAGGAATTGTACTAGTACTATGTGTGTAGGAGAAGGGTTACTAATAGAACATCTCTAGAGCGCCTAACAAACACACCACACAGGTTTACAAGACAAAAAGGGGAAAAGGGAATAATTAGTTAGTTAAGTGTTTTGGGGCACGTGGCATCAACAATGAAAATAGTGTGCAGTTGGGTATAAGTTTAGAGATGCAACTTCTTAAGGACAGATTGCGTTTTAGTGGGAGGATTCTAGCTCCTTGAATTGCTAGGGTTGTCTTTATGTTTTCCTTTCAATTATGTTCTTAGAGTTCTTGCTACCTTATTGTTCTATCATCTTAGTTTATTAATACAAATTGCAAAGTATATTCAGATTTGTGCTTGACTTGGTGTGTTCTCTGTGTTGTGTGTTGTGCAATTGTGGTTGAGTTTTGAGGGTTCCCAACAATTTGGTATCAAAGCCAATTGGGTAATGGTGAATACGAAAAAGAAAAAAATGGAAGGTCGAGTTGATGGATTGGAGAAGGATATGGGAGTTGTAAAAGAGGATGTCGGCACTATTAAGGATTATTAGATGGAATTGAGGGAATGGATGTGACTAAAGGATGAGAGGGATGAGAGCATGAATCGGGGCAAAGAGAGAATAGAATCATCGAAAATTCCGGTGGTCCAGGAAGGAGGAAATTAGGATCGATGATGAATCAATGAGAGTGGTGGAGAAGATCGGAGGATAAGGAAGTTGAAATTACCAGTGTGTAACGGCTAGGATCCTCATGGTTGGACCTTAAGAGCTGACCGATATTTTCCTGTCAATAAGTTCGTCGAAGGAGACAAGGTGGAAACGGCGGCGGTTTGCATGGAGGGACAAGCATTAATATGGTTTCAGTGGGGGTTGATTCTCGCTCTCCATTTATTGATTGGGGCACTCTCAAGAAGGCGGTGATTGAAGGATTAAGGCCATCATATAAGGGTTTGGCGTTTGAGTCCTTGGTGGCACTGAAGCAAACCAAACGGTGACTGAATATCACGAGCAATTTGAACTATTAGCAGTGTCGATGAATGAGGTTAAAGAAAAGCTACTCATGGGGACATTCACTAATTGGCTCAGAGAAGACATAAGGGTTGACCCGTGTTTAGTAAGGCCCAACAACCTAATTGAACTCATGGACTATGCCCATAGAATTGAAGAACGAGACTGGGTTTCGGACAAAACAAAATTGAGGGCAGGCCGGGCCCAATGGAGTAATAGGCTAGAAAACTATACAAGGTTGACCCCAAGCCCAGAACCACTCAAAATCAGGTGGGCATCCAATTGAAATAAAAACCCAGATTGGTCATTAGTTCCACAATTGTGCAGTAGGGATGGGCACAAAGCCCGCCCCAACCCGGCTCAAACGGGCCGATTTTCTCCGATTCGTTCAGGCTTTGGGCTGGGATCGGGCCCAAGTATTGGCTCCGAAATTCGGGGATGGGCCGGGGCCGGGGCCAGGATAGGTTTTGGCCCGGCCCCGAATTCCCTGACCCATATATTTTATTTATACATATATCAAATTATTATTTATCAATATTAATTTTAATAATTGAAAATCAATCATATATACCTATAATAATTTTAAAATTTGAAAATCAATTATACATTATACAATGACAAATTATAATTGTGTAAGTATTTTATGAACTTATATATAAAATACAAATAAGTAATAAATAAAACTAGATTAAATATAATAAATCATTATAAATATTTGTAATATATATATATATATATATATATATGTTAATGTATATATATTATACATTATACATAATATGTTAATGCTATGAAACAAAAGTTATACATTCGACATTATATGTACATTATACATTATATATGATATACATTCAACATTCAACATTATACATTATATATGGTATCTAAGTATAATGTATATAACATATATATATCATACATTATACATAATATGTTATTATCTATAATCATATGTTAATACATAATATATATGTTATATATGTGTAATACATTATTTGGTGTTTTGATTGATTATAATAAATCAATAAATCATTATAGATTTAATTTTTTTTGGATGATATATAATCATTTTATATATTATATATATATATATATATATATATATATATATATATATATATATTATACATAATATGTTAATGCTATGAAAAAAAGTTACATTCGACATTATATATTATACATTATCTATGGTATACATTTGACATTATACATTATACATTGTATATTATATATGCTATATACTAAATAAGTATAATGTATATAACATATATATGTTGTACATTATAATTTATACATAATATGTTATTATCTATAATCTTACGTTAATACATAATATATATGTAATATATTATTTGTTGTTTTGATTGATTACAATGAATCAATAAATCACTATAATTTTTGTTTTGTCCCTCATTGAATCATTATTTCAATTCTATTACCTAATTGCCTTTGTTATACTGTGATATCTATTTATTTAGAATTTATTATAATATATATGGTAATTATTTATTTAAAATTTATTATAATATATATGATACATTATATATGTATACTTATTACTTAATACAATAATTCATAATATTATACTATTAATATCTAATATATTTATATATATGTATAATGTATATGCACATAATATATGTATATGCATATTATATATTTAATTTTTTTTTTTTTTTGATGATATGGTCTTTACGTTTAATATGTATATTATATATTTAATTTTTTTTTTGTTTGGTATATATAATTTGAATAAAAGGATAATAAAATAAAGGAGAGAAAAATACAAAAACCCCAAAACGGGGAATCCTCGAATTCCTTGTTCGGGGAACGGGCTTTTTCAGGGATTCCCCAAAATCCCCGAACAGGCTTCTGTTAAAGTCATGAAAGTGACTCTAATTTGGTGATAAAAGACCATGTGTGTGATTAAAATGAAATCATATTGAGATAATTAAAGAATTTATGAATTTATTCATGAAAATCGCTTTCTAATATTTTTCTTATGAATTTAACATATTTGGAATGATTTTGGAAAGGGTATGAGTTGATATTAGGTTGTGGTTTATGGATTAGGGGTGATTTTGTCTCATTTATGCTGTTCAGGGGGTAAACTGTCATATTTTTAAGGATCGATTTTGTCACTTTTCAATCATACAGGGACCAAAGTGATATTTTTTAGTTTATCTATAAAAAGAAAGCGACAGGTCGTGAACGTGGAGCACTGTTCATCCATTTTCCGAAAA